TACTAGTAATGTGTCGATTGTATAAGATTTCATTGATGTATTCCTTGGTGACTTACCTGGCATACCACTTGATAGACAATTGGAGTTTACAGTTGACCTTATGCTTGCAGCAACTATAGTATCTAAAGCTCCATACAAGATGGTGCCAAAAGAAGTACAAGAATTAAAGATACAGTTGGAAGAATTGTTGGATAAATGTTACATCTGACCAAGTACATCCTCTTGGGGCAAACCAACTTTGTTTGTGAAAAAAGATAGATCGATGAGGTTGAGCATTGATTATAGAAAATTGAATTGATTTACTATCAAGAATAAATATCACCTTCCTCAAATTGAAAACCTGTTTAATCAGTTGAAGGTGCAACAGTATTTTCCAAGATTGATTTGAGGTCAGACTATCATCAGTTGAAGGTGAAGGCAAACAATATTTCAAAGACGATATTTAGAACTCACTTTAGTTATTAGAAGTTCAAGGTAATGCCTTTTGGGTTAACAAATAATTTTACAATATTTATAGATTTGATAAATAGAGTATTCTATCAGTATTTAGATCAATTTGTCATTGTCTTCATCGATGACGTTCTGGTGTATTCAAAAAATAAGGATCAACATAAATAATAACTCAAGATAGTATTGGAGACACTATAAAAGGAGAAATTATATGTCAAATTTAAGAAATGTGAATTTTGGCTCGATTGTAAAGTTTTTCTAGGTCATTTGGTTACGGTACAAAGGATTCAAGTACACCCTAGTAAAGTTGAAGTGATAGACAACTGGTCCTAATCGGCGAATGTAGGCGAAGTTTGTTGTTTCTTGGGACTAGCCGATTAATATGGGAGATTCACTGAGAGATTCTCCAAAATAGCTGGCCGATGACCTAGCTAATTAGGAAGGGCATAAAATTCCAATCGACTTAGAAGTATGAGGAAAGCTTTCAAGAACTAAAACAGAAATTGGTTACAGGTCCAATTTTAGCTATACCAGAGGGTTTAGATGGATTCATTATATAAAGTTATGCGTTCAAATAGGATTTGGGATGTGTATTGATGCAATTTGGAAATGTGATAGCATACATTTCAAGACAATTAAAACAATATGAGCAAAACTATCCTATGCATGATCTATAGTTAATAGCTGTAGTACATACTTTAAAATTATGGTGTGACTACCTGTACGAGGGAAAGCACGATATTTATATGAATCATAAGAAATTAAAATATTTCTTCACTCAAAAAGATCTAAATATAAGACAGAGAAGGTGGTTGGAGTTAGTTAAGGATTATGACTGTACTATCTATTGCTATTAGGGTAAAGCTAACGTTTTACCCACAACTCGAGTGCAGCTGATAAATGAGTTCGATAAATTGAAATTGGAAGTTGTCATTCCATCAGCACGGGTTATTACAAGGATTGTAGCATTAAAGATTCAACATACTCTTGGGTATCGAATCAAGGATGCTAAAGACAATGACCTATTTTCAAGGAAAATCAAAGCGGAAGTTGGTACAATTAAAAGAAAGGGTTTTGCAATAGCAGATGACAGTACTTTGATATTCGAGATAAGGTTATGTATACCGAAGGATGAAAAGATAAGAAAAGAGATATTAAAAGAAGCTCACTTGCCTCCTATGCTATACATCCTGGTGATACTAAAATGTATCTAGATCTTCACAACATATTTTGATGGAGGAACATGTAAAGGGAGATTGGTCTATTTGTTGAGAAGTGTATTGTATATGAGCAAGTTAAAACAAAACATCAAAGGCCTCAGAACTATTAAATCCATTGAAAATTACAAAGTGAAAATGAGAACAAAGAGTCATGGGTTTTGTGATGGGTTTTTGGAAGTGAACTGAAGGACACGATGCTATCTGAGTAATTGTAAACAGGTTGACAAAGTTAACTTATCTTCTTCCCGTAGGAATAAACTACAATATGGATCAATTTTCTCAATTATATGTTAAGGAAATTGTTAGGTTGTATGGAGTTCCAGCATCCATCAACTCAGATCGAGATCCAATGTTTACTTCTAAATTTTGGAAAAACATGCAAAGAGCTATTGGGACAAAGTTAAATTCTAGCAATGCATATCACCCTCAATCTGATGGACAGTCTGAAAGGACTATTCAAATCTTAAAAGACATGCTCCGGATATGTGTTTTGGATTTGAGAGGTAGTTGGAAATCACACTTATCATTAGTCAAGTTTGTATACAATAATAGCTTTCAAGCTACTATTGGCATGGCTTCTTATGAAGTCCTCGATGTTAGAAGGTATAGATCCTCAGTTCACTAGAACGAAGTAAGAGAAAATCGAATTTTGGCCTAAAATTATTGCAATTACAGTGCAAGCAATGATTAAATCAGAGAAAGAATAAAGTTTGTTCAAGATAGATAAAAAAAAAATGTGCAGGTCAATGAAGGGAGTCGATAGAATTTGAAGTTGATGAGTAAGTATTTATAAAAGTCACCAATAAAAGGAGTTCTTAGATTTGGCAAGAAGAGGAAAGTTGAGACCTCGATTTATAGGTCTTTCGAAATTTTAGACAGAATTGGGAATGTAGCATACCGTTTAGTATTGCCACCTAGACTATCGACAGTACATAATAGATTGCACTTATCAATGCTTAGAAAGTATGTGTTTGATTTTGAGCATGTGATAAGTTACGACTAATAGGAAGTATAGAAGGTCCTGATGTATGCAAAAAGCCCTTTGAGATTATCCAAAGAAAAGTACATGCATTAAGAAATAAAGTTGCCTCGGTTAACATTCGATGGAAAAATTATGGAATTGAAGAAACTATTTGGGAGAAAGAAGAGGAAATAAAAGGCAAGTATCCAGAGGTTTACGACTAAATAAGGTAGTTTTGAGGACGAAATGATTTTAAGAGGGAATAAATGTAACATCCCGAATTATAATTATATTTTCATATGAGCTAAATTTAATGTTGGTCATTTAGCAAATGAAATAGTCCACGAAACCTTATCGTCACACTAAAGTTCAAAGGTTGAAGTGATAAACGCAACCCACTTTATTTGCATAAATAATTTACATTGCTTATGTATACTTTTTAAAATTTATTTTAAATGATTTGAGTCGAATATTTAAGTATTTTATAAGTTGATAACAGTATATCGATCTTATATTTATTTTGTATCTTGTGTTAAATAATATAATTTGGGCTCAAGAAAAATTAATTTTGAGCTAGTTATGCCCGAGTTATTCTAATAAAAAGAAAAAGTATAACTGTCAAATATTTTATTAATATATAATATAAAAAAATAATAAGAAAATGGGAGCTTTCATGGTACAGTTACATATATGAAAAGGTAATTAAATTAATTTAAACCTAAACATAACATTCACTTGATTTAAAATTCATTAAAATCATTAATCAATGATAATTAATTTCACTAACCCTCATTACATGAAAGTGCCTTTTATTTATGAAAGTTACGTGCAAAGTAATGGAAAAAAATATGTGTGTGTATATTTGAGATGAAATGATTTTTCTTCTACTACAAAGTTTATATTATACACATTTTACACCAGAATTGAACGAAGTATCATATATATATAGATATTTTTCAAAAGCTATATTTTTCAGGTCGATTTCTATGTTAAATTCTATGGGATAAACCGTTAGGTTGAACTTATAAATTCTAAGGGATGTAAGAATTCTTAAGAAATTTCTTAAGTTATTGGATATCGCGATCAGTTTGCTCTAAATTTAAGAAATGTTTGTATGTTATGTCATTTTATATTTATATCGTGTTAATAAGAATATGTATGTATTTTTACTGAGTGTTTTCAAAATACTCATTAACTTTCTAGATTAGAACAAGTCGTGTGGATGCGTAGAAGATTGACCTAAGATCCCGTTTGGTACTAATTTTTTTCAAAATGCATTTTTCTCTCTCTTCTTTTCAACCACACATTTTTCATTAAAATAATATTACACGTAAATCAAAAACTTTTCTTTATTTTTAATCACACATTTCCTATCAATTTACTATTCCAAAATGCACCCTCCTAGTGATGTTTATGGGGTCGCCAAATAAATTTTTTTTTAGAATGATTACTGCAAATTTTTATTTTAAGAATAAATTTTATGTTAAATTCCATGCCCGTTATTTTAGTAATTTTGGCGTTTGACCCTTGAGATACCATGTTGAATTGAATTTGATAAATTTAAAATATTCATACTTAAGATTTAATTATATATGGAATTTCTCATTTAAGTTGCTGAATTTAAGATTTATCAATCAAATCCTAATATTTATACAATCATGTTAAATTCCATATAAATTAGATAAGAATGATTTCGGTAACACTTTAAATCCTCATTTTTAATTAAAAATTTAAAAAAATATTATGTAGTAGAGCACGTGATAAAAAAAATTATTATATTCTAACTAAATTACTTTGGTTTTCAGAGAATCATGTTATAAATTAGAGATAAAACAGATAGATAAAAGTGAAAGGCCAATAAATATGAGTATTTTTATTAAGAATTAAAAATCCATATTTATAGAGAAGAATTAGGGTTATAAGGGATTCAACCGTTACAATGATTAGGATAGTGGGAATTTAAAAGTCATTCATAAATATTATTATACCTCGTTTGGCCCCAATTAAATTAAATTTCATTTTTCTCTCTCCAATTTTCAATCACACAATCTTCCATAAAATAATATTACACGTAAATCGCAAAAATTTTCTTCTTTTTTAACACTCTTTCTCCAAAAAAATATTATTTTACCCATTTTAATTTTAAAAAATGGGGGGCCAAACAGGGCTATATTTACAACAAAAAATTATATTATTTAATGGGTATGTAAATTTTTTTTCCCGGATTACCATCAAACATATCGAAATCAAACCGAGTTTAGTTGCCGTTAAGCGGGCCTTAAAAATTAGTGATCCATCAAAATAGGCGGCAGGCTTTGAAGGCCGGGTAGGGTCTGGCTATTTTTATTATTTTTTTCATTTTCTTTTTCTTTTTATAAAATAGACAGTCCGCTGTTTATCAAAGTCGAAACCCTCGTCTCTCAGTAACAAAGAGAATTTCATTTGCAAGATTTCTCCAGGTAATTCTAATAACTTTTCGTGTATTGGCGTCTTTATGTATGGTGTAGTGTCGTGAAGCATTCAGTTTAATCACGATTATTGATGGATCCGCATTATATGCTTAATTAAAAATTTATCATAGACATTTCAATTTTTTATTTTAGAAAATTGATTTCATCGAAATGGTCCTTTTTTTAAAATAAAAAATAAAAAATCTTTCATAGTTCTATGCATGGAGCTCTACTGGTTTGAATTATGGAATTGCCTCTGTAAATGAATAATTTTTTTAATTTTTAAGTGAAGGGGTAGCCGTTTTTGGCATTAATTTTTGTTTTTGGTGAATGGTAGGAGCATGTTTATGGTGACTCTGTAATCAAAGAGTGACATGCAAGATGTTGCTGGATTATTATCATTTACTTCCGTAAATCAAAGTGTTACTCAATTGAAGGACATCTGGCAAAATTAAACCATGGCTCAGCAATCGTCGCGGCTTAATCGCCTGCTCACTTTATTGGACAGTATCCTTATAATTTTTTGTACTCAGATGGCTATAAATATCATGTTACACCTAGATTTTGTATTTCTTTATGTCTGCTTAATATGTATGTATTTATGTACTTGATGCATAGCATGCTTGCGTGTTTCTGTAGAATTGTTTCAATATAAATTATAGGCTAACTGTTATATTCTGTAAGTATCTATCTTATATATGAAGATGATACTTCAGATTCTTTTTCTTCTTTTCTTTTGTGTTTTTGGTGTCAATTGGTGTCTTTTAAGTAACTATATGGATATTTGTTGTGAATATGTCTATATCTTTAGTAGAAAGGCATGTACGCATTATTGATTATGTGTTCTTGCATTGAATTTGTACGCATTATTGATTATGTGTTCTTGCATTGAATTTGTAAATCTTTCGATCTTTTTATTTATCGTGTTATAAGTAATTTTGGCATGTAGCAAGTTTGCATATGAATTCAGATTCTTTTTCTTCTTCTTTTGTGTTTTTGGTGTCAATTGGTGTCTTTGCGGCATGTTGTTTTCTCTTTAATGAAAACTAAGCGGGTTCGACCCAAGCGACGCGGTTTACTGCTGCCAGGCAGATAGGGGAAATTGCCAAATCACATCCTCAGGACCTGAATTCTCTGTTAAGCAAGGTATGGTTTTACTGCTCAGATTTTTTGATCTCTGAGTACTTGGTTTCACTCTATAACATGTTTTCGTCATACCTTCTGCTCTCTTGCTTGTTTATATAAGGTAGCTTGATTTCGTTGCATCACGGTGGCAAAAATCATGTCATTCAGTTCTTATTAGTGTAATTTTGTTTATTACGTAGAGTGTAGCAGGAGTCCAGTTTAAATTCCTAAGTTTAACCTTTCATTTATAACATGCAGGTTTCCCAATATCTGCACAGTAAAAAGTGGGATACCCGGGTTGCTACAGCTCATGCTATAGGAGCTATTGCTGAGAATGTTAAATGTACATCGTTGTCTGAGCTCTCTAATAGTTTTGAATTGAAAATGTCAGAAGCTGGGATTTCTGGCACCTTCGCTGACATTGTGACTTGGCCTAACCGCAATCCTGAAAATTCAGCAGGCACTTCATTTAGAAGGTTTGTTTTCTTCCGTTTTCTATGTATAAATAATGTCATATACACTATACATTCCTCCCATTTTACTGGTCGATCATACTTCTTGCATGATGGATTCCTCGAGCATATTAAACTGTCCAAGTCGTTTATATTATTCTTCTGAGGAGAAATTCAACTTCCACAGTTTTGATCTAAACAAGGTGTTGGAATTTGGGGCTTTGGTGGCATCCGGTGGACAGGTACTTTCCTTCCATCTATATCCCCAGGGCCCAAAAAGCAAAAGAATATATTTCTTTGCAGAATATTTATCCCTTCTAATACATATCTGGACATCCATCTGTTCTATGTCTATTAACAGATATATTTTGTTTATCAACTCTTTGCAACTTATTCTGTGTTTGCTTTCAGATTCATGAAATAACTGAATATCAGTTCTTCTTTTCTTTGTTTCTGCTGAATTATTATCATCATATGGATCTGCTGACATGATTACTATTGCTCTTTTGTTTGGTTGGGGTGGTGCAAACCTCAATCCTCAAGAAAAATTAGTAAATATCTCACTTAATTAATGAAAGTATAACAACTTCATTTGCATATTTAGTCTCGTACAATACAAATTGTGATAGGAGGAGAAATATTGTGTGGCTTTTGGCGGCATGAGTTTCTTTATTTGGCTGTCAGAGGCATCAATTTAGAGATATATTGAAAAAAAAGGTTTTGCTATTTGTCTTCAAATCACTTGAGCTTGAATTGTTTCTTTTCATACTGTAGCTGTGATTTATGTTATGGTACTGTGGATGAATATCTCCTGTGAGCGGTTAATATTTTACTGATGTTTTCCAAGGTTTTGTATCCTGCACTCCTTGTGTTAGTGAAACTATGATTATTGCTTGAGCAATGATGATTTCTCTGCCAAAGGATTAATGATTTATGAAACTATGAAGATTTCTCTACTCAGTATTAATGACTCTGGAATAGTATCGTATTTTTATTGCTTGTCTTCAATTACATTGCAAATGCCATCCACACTTAAATATGACTGCAGTTTTTTATCGTAGATCAATAATATATTATATATATGAAGGACCTTCACTTATCAAGTGATAATTTACTTTAGTCTCCCTCCATGTCTTACTTTAAAATTTTAAATTACCTAACTTCTTAAAACTATCAATAATGTAAAAGTATGATAAAAATTGTAACTGAACTACCCTCTTCCCCCTAAAGTACCTTCCTTTAAATTTTTTAAAATGTGTTGCACTTTTTTCCATTTATGACTAGCATTTTAAAATGATATATTTTGTTTCTGTTGAAGAAAAGAATCCTTAATAACTTGTGTGTTTTCGAACTTAGCTGGGACTCAAGGAAATTCTCTAGCCACATGTTGCTGTGTTCTATGCTTGTTGAAACAAATATCATTCATAGTAGTTAAAGTCTACAAATTCTTGTCAGCTTGCTTCTCCGTGAGCTCATGATTCCTTTCAAGACTCAACGTAGTCAACATTTGTGTGATGTTGTGATGGGTTTCGTCGATCCCCTTGTTTCATTGTTTGAGTTTTTCGAGCCTACGTTCTACGTCGACGGTTCGATTGCCACTAGTACCTTTGTCGGCTATAGGATTAAGGCAATTTCCTTGCTTTGAAACCAATTTTGGTGTGGAAGCATTATGAAATTCTTGTAATAAGAATTATATACTAAATAAAAATGATATTTGAACAATTACGTCATGCTTGTATTGAATACTAATTGATTGTTGTTAAAAAGTGTACAATGCATCTATATTTATAGGCAAAATTATTCCCTTCTTTTACTACTACTAGAAAACTAATATAAGGGAAGTAAAATATATCCGAGTCTAAAAGAAATTGGAAACTGTATTCTAAACAAGAAACAAGAATAAAAAGATAAACCTATTACAACTAGACATCTTAATATAAATATCTAACTTTTATCCTATTTATAATAGGATCGTCCTACATCAGCTCCCCATCTATCTAGATTTCCACATTGAATATTTTATTTGCTAATAAGCATACTTGCTGACCTTCCGTCTCAAGTATGGAGTGTACCCCCAATGAGTTGGTACAAGAAAAGCTTATCATCTTTTTTTTTTGCAATGGCATTTTTCGTGGCAACCTGTGACGAATAGCACTACTTATAGACCTCTATCACTGCCATCATTAAATCACTGTTCACGACCAATAGAAGATGAGCCCTAGATTATACTTAAAAACAGAAAGAAAAACAGAGAAGATCAGTGGCATCTCCTGGTCCCCAAGCCTTGGAATACAAGAACACCATGACCATAATCACCCTTCCATTGCAATGCCCTCTCATTCCTCTAGAAATTATATTTCAAGAACTAAACAGGAGAAAGAAAAGAGTTTCCTAAACTACCATCATCCCCAATTAAAATCTGTTAAGTTCCAATGCAATCTACCAGGATACCACTTCTACTGTAATTTCCATTTCCAAATGCGTGGTTGAGCTACTATCCCCACCATAAATGCCCTAACCATGGGCAGAAACTTGGTTTGGAATTCTGTTGTTTTATGTATCCAATGTCCCATTTGGTGATGTGACAGCATGTTACGTGTACTTCCCTTTAGTCAAGTTCCTTCAGTTATTGTTTTTTGGCTTTTTTGTGTGTTTGTGCTTATGATATTTTAAGTGCTAGTAGTCGTTGGAAACTAATAAGTTGTGAGTTTTCTTTTGCTTTTAGACCTTGAAAAATGATTCGTAATGTCATGTTGTTAGGACTGCTTAGGATATTGATTTTGCGTTTTATTATGACTTCTACATGCACACTCCATTTTGCGTCACATTTATTGGCTTTAAAATCCCCCGTCAGTTCCTCTAATGTGATAACTCCTATTCTAAGAACACCTCTGTAGAAAAGTTGCTAGATATTATCTCGAAATGCTTCTCTTGAAATATATCATATTCCTGAAAGCCACTTGAACTTGATCATTCATTACATTGTTTCTTAGTCAGCACTCAAAATCGGATGAGAGCTTTAAATAGAGAACCTTTATTCTTGAGTTCAGCAAATGAAATTCAAGATAACTCACGAATTTCAAAATTTATTACTACCCTGCCCTTGTTGGGGAAAGAGGAGGATTTCTGTGTTCACATGTTCGTTGGTGTCCATAGCTTATTGATTCTTGACGAAATGAGTGGAGGTTAGATTTGTATGTGATATTGTGCATGCACTTGATTTTTCAATTGACTTCATTTTAGGAGTACGATATAGCAAGTGACAACAGCAAGAACTCTCGGGAAAGATTGGCTCGACAAAAGCAGAATCTTCTGCGTCGATTAGGTGAGTGTTGTATCAAATTTAATAACTAAGTATCTGTATCCCTAACTCAAATAATCAACAATCCCCTGATACTGAATTTTAAGGCCACAATGGTACTATTTGTTTTTTAATGATGTAGTGACGAAAATAGTCATGTCCTTTAAAAGTTATTGATAACTGATTCTTCAGTTATGGGCTCAGATTGTTAACACGGTTTATACATGGAAATAGGAAAACTCTTGTCTACAGTATGATCTAGAGTTGTTTTGCAAGGAAAACATTGCATATGGTTCTGGTCAGCCTATTTATTCCGTTTTAATAAGTTTTCCTGGAGCATGCTATGCACATGGTATTAGTAGAATTCTGATCACGAGCTATATTTATTATTTATCTATGCCTTTTACATCTCTCAATATATTCTCTAATTCATAATGTAATGCGTAGAATTCACATTTGCAACTTTGATGCTACCTGGATTTTATCTTTTGTTTCCACCTATGAGCTGTATCATACATTTTGCTCAATGAATGTGGATTTTATTGATGCCTTTTAGGTTACATTATATACACGCATTGTCTCATACAAGGCGACGTCCTTACTGATTTGTCTTCCAGCTGATTAAAATTGAGATTAGTAGCAGTTAAATGAAAGCTACCTTACTTAGATCCCTGGATTGCATTATTGGATTAGCGGGTGCCACTAGACAAATTAGTCATAATTGTTTATTGTTATTTCCTATGTTTATTAGTTCTTGTATGCTTGCATGTTCTTTCTATTTCCTTTTTTTCCTGCATGGCCCCCTAATATAAAATACTGTGTGAAAATATTATTTGTCATTTTCATACACAGGGTTAGATGTGTGTGAGCAGTTCATGGATGTGAATGATATGATAAGAGATGAGGACCTCCTTGTGCACAAAATTAATTCCTCTGGCAATGGAGTCGCCCTTCAGTATTTCTCCTCACAGCCTCTTCATAATATCCAGCAACTTGTCACGAACTTGGTTCCTGCCTCCAGGTCTCGGAGGCCTAGTGCCAGGGAACTAAATCTCTTGAAACGTAAAGCAAAAAATAATTCAAAGGAACAAACAAAGGGGTGGTCTAAGGTCGGAGATGCAGAGTTACCACAACAAGAAGAGATGGTTCCACTGAAGGGAAGCATTTCTCTAGATTCCTCAAGCTCGCATAAGGTAAATAGATGTCGTCCCTGATTATTAGGTTCCATAGTTTTGCCAAATAATATGACATCTAAAGATTCAGACATGCTTATTCGTGCGAAGAACTTTTATTTATGAACGTGTAGAAACTCAACGGTTGAGGTTTGAATTTATTGAATTGGCTAGTTATACTTGTCTTTCATTATAGCAGCAGTTTGTTTATGTTTATCAAAGATAATCTAGTTACACCGTGTTTACTTGTGTGCATTCCCTCTACTGGGAAAAAATAACTTTCTGAAGGCCTGTTCATCCTTTTTAGCACATATCTATAGAGATTGCCATGTGTGGACAATTTGTCAGCAATATTTTACGAGTTAATTGTTCAAACTTTCCTTGGACTCAGCTAGTCAGAATCGAACCTTCACGTGTTGTAAGGCATATGGTTTATAGATAGAGATCCACTTGTTTGAGTACATTCATCACTTCGCAAATGTAGTTTTTTATGAGGCAGTCTGTTTATGGAGGTGCTGATGCATTGTTTCTTCTTCTTTTCGTTTTTTTAGTGCTGTTTCTTCTTGATTTTTCTGTCATTTATATTACTATATTTTGGTTTTAATCTTTGTTAAAGTCCTGCATACTCCATCAACTTGGCCCTTTACCATGTGCTGAATAACTTGTTATCCTTGAATTATAATGCGTATTCAGGAGGTTTTTATTATTTTGTTTCTGTAGTTAGACATGTTTAATTTCTTTTTCTTTGTGGATGTTAAGGAATCATTTTTTTGTAGCCTTATATTTTACATTCTTATCTTATCTTTCTAATGCAAATTTTTAATGTACTTTTTAATGCAGCAACTTGGAGATGGTGTTTCTGATGAAGAAGGCTTTGAGAATGACGGAGATGGGGGTTGGCCTTTTCAATCTTTTGTTGAACAACTCCTTGTTGATATGTTTGACCCGGGTATAGATAAATATTTTGACTTTCCCGCCTTTGATTTTTTTTTTTTTTTTTCATAATTCTCATAAGAAATTAATTTCTCTAATTTGTGTTTTCAGTTTGGGAGGTTCGACATGGAAGTATTATGGCCCTGAGAGAGATATTGACTTATCAAGGTGCTAGTGCAGGGATTTTGTCTGAAATGAGCTGCAAGGCTGCATCATTTTCATATTTGGAAGCTAAAGGTGATGAAAATACAGTGAAGGGAGAGCGGAAACTTGATTTGAATCTACAAGTCCCGCTGGAAGCTTTGGAGCCAGTTTTGAAGAGACCAAAGTTGGAAAATGATTCATGTCCAATGACAGATATAAAAACCTCTGCCTCTAGTGATGGAGATTTGGACATTTGTGCTAAAGTTGAAGATGGAGGAAACATACCTCTCATGCAATTAAATGGTGAAATTAATGTTAGTTCCATTAAGGTGGAACTTGAACCTCATATTTACAGCACATGCCATTCTAATATTCATATGACAGAGGCAAGGAGTTGCTCTGAAGACACGGATTCAATTGAGAAGAACATGCTTGAAAATTTTGCTGAAAATGCTAATCTGATGAACTCGGTTAAAATGGCTAGAAATTCCTGGCTGAGAAATTCTGAATTTCTGCAAGACTGTGCAATTCGTTTCTTGTGTGTCTTGTCCCTGGACCGGTAGGATCTCATTTAATAATATAAACCAGTCATAGCTTTTTGTTTATTTTAAACATAACTAGTGTAGTTGAAACCAGAGAAGTGAGCCATTAAAGTACCAAATACATCCACTTATGACTTATGGAAAAGATATTTTCTTACTTTGGATGTATTTTTTATTATTATGTCAATAATTTGGTTTTAAATTCTCATTTTATATCTGAATTAACTTTGTTGGACCTGTGTAATCTTACAATCGCATTCTATTGATTCTTGAGTGATAGTTTTACTATAGACAATCCTTGTACTTCGTCTAATCTGTTGTTGATTTTCTTCTATCTGTACAGTTTTGGAGACTATGTCTCCGATCAGGTTGTTGCACCAGTCAGGGAAACCTGTGCACAAGCATTGGGTGCTGTGCTCAAATACATGCTCCCTACATCAGTTAGAGAGACTCTAAATATTTTGTTGCTGATGCAGGTAAATAATGAGTAGGAATTTTTCACGTCTTTTGAGGATATTCTTTGTTTTTTTATTTTAATACCTTTTTAATTATCACTTCTCCTTCTTTCAGCATAGACCAGAATGGGAGATCCGCCATGGGAGTCTTCTGGGTATTAAATATTTAATTGCCGTGCGACAGGTACTATTTGTTCAATGCAATAAGTTTACTGGTTTCTGTTTGTGTAATTTTATTTTTATTTTATTTTATTTTTTTAAATTTTTTTGCAGCAGTTCTGGTTCTGTTATGATTCATTTCACTCACTACTTTGCTTTGTATTGTTGTGTTTTGGTTTCTCAGATTAACTTTTGCTTCTAATTGCATGGTGTGTAATGCAGTATGAAATTTTGATTGCTTTGCTTTCACAATATTTTGTTTGGTTTATTCTTGAAGTTCTTGCCATCGACTATTGTTCTAATATGCAATCTTGATAGTCCATATGGATGTTGATAAGGAACTCCTTGCATCTTTTATAGGGAAGAAGTGTTCTCTCTTGTAACATATTTCAAAGCAGCTAAAAGAACAAGTTCTCTAATATTGTAAAATTCTGAACATATTAGATTGACAGCGAGCGACATAGTTCTGCAGTTGATGTCTCTGTTATATAGTTAGTGCAACAGAACATTATCTTTGACAAGAGCTGAATGATAAATTTCTTTCAATTCTGTGTAGCTGAGATGGTCTTCTTCAGAATATGCCCTGTTTATTATTTGATGGATTCTTCATCTTTAACTTGTTTTTATCAGCATTTATATTGAAGTTATAGTTTGTCGTCTATGGAAATTATAAGACAATAGCTCTCTTTAACCTCAAGAAATCACCTCGTTAATGGATGCTGTTCACACATGTCAGTTTGTACCGAAGATCCCAGGTGCCAAAGTGCTGGGATGCTGCTTTGAATGTTTATCAAAAGAATATTGATACTAAAAGTTGATGAGTACACATATCAGAGACTTATATCTACACACGAGCCTGCAGTTACCATTTAATGCCTGGAGTTTCTTTTAGAGAATATGTTAATTATGTGAACTCCAAATACTTGGCTGTCGCTGCATTTGAATTCCTTTTATCTCAAACTGAATGACATTTTTGGGGGAAAACTGTAAGGGCATACCATTACAAGTTATAACTAACAGAGGAACCTGTTCTCTGTGTCTCTCCAGCTTCAAGTTCTCTTGTTAATGAAATCTGGAAGCTGTTTTAAACAATTTTAGATTTGAGCCCTATGTGATTCAACCCACACTAGCATCACAGTTTCCTTGCTATTCAGCTTATGATTTTGCTTTTGCAACTAATCTAGTTAATTTCTTGATGTGTTTCCGCTTTAAATTTTTTGTAGTTTCAGCATTCTGATCTACGCTACTAATAACAGGAGATGCTCCATGATTTGCTTGACTACATACTCCCTGCGTGTAAAACTGGGCTTGAAGATCCTGATGATGATGTAAGAGCAGTAGCAGCTGAGGCATTAATACCAATTGCTGCTGCAATTGTTTCTCTTAAGGGTCCAATCTTGCATTCTATTGTTATGCTACTTTGGGACATTTTGCTTGACTTGGATGATCTAAGTCCATCTACCAGCAGGTACATATTTGTTGTCCTTTTTTTTGCTGCTTATATTTTTCTTAATTAGGGACTGCTCTATCTTTGTCACCATATTGCAAATGCCACTCTTTTCTTCTTCCTCTGGTTTGTAAAAGCTCTATTTTTCTCACCATCTAGATGATGTGCATTTACTTTGATTTTCTGTTGCATTATTAGTAACTGTTGGCCATCTCCATTCTTATTTACCTTGGATATCTAAGCACCATTTATTACTGGTTTTTGTTCTGTACCTAATAAATCATTAATGGTGCTGATGGATCTTTCAGAACTTTCAGCAAGGCTCAAGGGCCATGTATATGGAACATATCTTTTTATTTTTTATTATTTTTTTTCCCACTAATTTGGCACCTTCTCATTGTTTTACCTAGACAATCCTCAAGTGTCAAATATGTTTTCTTCTGCAAGTTCTCTGAACAGGATGGTCTTTATTATCTGAGATCAGTTCTAAGATCATATATAGAGAAGGGAATTGGATAGAACTTCCTATAATCAGTAAGCTTCAGATGTGTTGAGATGATTTGGGGTTATAATTTATAAACTTTTGCAGGATCCATTTGAGACTGTTTTAATATATTTCTCATCCACGCCAAAGTTGGGTTAGGAGGTTTTGGATATTTATTGACCATTGAGTAACCAAATATCCGTTTTGATACGTTGTATTTGAAGATCTCTTTTGTTTTCTGGTGCTAGATCAATTTCAATCAATTTCCAGAACTCTTATAGTTCTAGAAATGATGCCTTGGGACAGATGTAAAGCCTAAACAAATTGTAAGAAAAATTTGTCTTTTTCCAGAATTGCAACTACCCATTGCAAGTTCAAAAATCATTATATAATAATCTAGAAATTGCAATAAAACGTCACGACAATATCCAAAGGCCATAAAATGGGTACCTCTGTCTCAAATTACTAGTGTTACCTACTTTACTTCTTAATATAAGGAGCCAATTTTTAGACGTCTCACTTTACTTCTTGGTGAGGCAGCCATCTAGGTATCTTTTTTAGAAACAACCGTCAAGTATGCTGTCTCTGTTGGACTCTTTTAACTTAAGATAATTGTTCATTGAAGGTTGACTACTTTCCTCCACTATAATGCGTCCAAATTATTGTCTTACTGCACTACATAGCCTGATGTGCTTATTTGTTGATTTATTGCTTCTTTTTTTATCAACCCGGAAATGAATTTTTATTTATTTATTATTTTTTGTGGGATGGCGTGGAGGGGTGCGGGTGGTGATTCCTGGGGGTTCTTTTGGTTGTTTTTGGTGGTTGGGATTGATTAAACAAAGCTCCTTTTTGGTTCAAGATTAAAATACAGAATTTTGAAGTTGTTATTCTAATTTTTAGTTCATGAGACTCAA